ACAAATGAAGCTCATTTCAGCTGCTTGTGTCCACCCCCCATGTGTGATGTGCACTCATGAAAAACAAAATCTAATTTAAATACAGTGAATTACTAAATGATTTTTTTTACCACAACAGAAACATCACTCCCCATTTTAAGCATTTTAATGTTAACTTTAATATTTARATCAGACAAATCTCTAACTCGGCACCTGTAATGACGTCACTCCTCTGATAAAGATTTAAGTATTTCTGTCTTATCCTGGTGGGTTAACCACGTTTCTCTGAAGTTTAATGAGAGTTTGAGAGGAGCAGAGTTTTCCCGCCTCCTCTTACCTCCCAGCAGGTGAGGTGACAGGTGTGTGGGTAGAGATCCGATCACCAGGCGGGGGCCCTCCGCCTCCTCCGGGCTGCTGCCGCCGGACTCCGGGGAGCTGTAGGCTCCTCCGCTGTTCGGGATGCTGATGCCGGACTGAGGTCTCGCCGCGGGAGCCCCGGAGCCCCCCACGGACCTCGACCTGGCCCCGGCCCCGAGCGGCTGGCCGGTGCTGGCTGCGGCTCCAGCGGCTCTGGGCGCCCTGCGGTACCGGGCCCCCACGCCGGGGGTTCTGTCGGGGTTTCCGTTGCTGCCGCCCGACGYGGAGGAAGGCAGATCCGAGCCGGAGTAGGCTCTGGTCCGTCCGTTAGCAGCTGGGCTAGCAGCGGGGCTGCTCTGCTTGACCCCCATGTTTAACCTCCGCTGTCAGGAAGCTGTCAACAGAAAACAGAACCGAAAACTCAAAAGTCCTCCCTGCCCTTATYCCATCCGGGTCAGAACTCACAGGAAGACAAAACTTAAGAAGWGGACCATCATCAGAGAAAAGAGCTGCGGATGCAGATTAAATTCAATCGTCCTGATCATTGTATTCTGTCAGCGGGWCTTGGGCTCGAGCTGCGGGTATCGTGGGTCCCCCTCGTCCGAACTGAGCGGTCCGCAGTGGCCCGGCCGCTGGGCCCTCCGTGTCCGCCCCGTCATCGCTCCGAGGCGGCTGTGGGTTCCGCTCGCCTGCGGCCCTCACAGCGGAGGAGACGGTCCGCCGCAAACACGTTCAGTGCGTAGGATTATTACAAGATCACATCAACTTCCGCTGTGACCCTTCAAAATAAAGCGTCGAAGCGGAAAACGAAAACAATGTTTAAAACGTTTTGTTATGTGATAAAACGAGGAAAATGTCATCTCAGAGCCGTGTAGCCAACCCAGAGCCCTAGAAAGTCCTCTCTCTAGGGCTCTGACCYTACCCAAGGGCTCTGTGTCATCTAGGGTTGACAGGGTGGATGAATGAATTTAATTTGTAACACACTTTTCATTAACATAATTCTAAAAAAAGGTGCTACAGAACAGCAAAACACACACTAAATAAATAAACTAGTAAAAAATAAATAAATAAATAAATTTACACAAATAAAATGCTTTTAGGTCCTGATAAAACATCTAAAAACCAAGGCTGCCTTCAAACAGAGCCACAGTATAAAAATAAAAGTCTTTAAGCCTTTTTTAAAGTCACCCAGTGATGAACAGGGAACAAGTATAGAGGACCCCAAACTGACGTAATTTAAAATAAAAGCAGAAATATTTAAAGGTAGCAATAAATGAATAATATGGCTAAAATGCACAAATTAATTTTAAAAAGGAGAACTTTACCTCATGATTTATAATTTAATTGACCTTCATATTTACTTTTAGATTAGTACCAACAAATTATGTATATAACACATAATATACATTTTGTTTTTGATTTTTTTTTTCATTTTACTTGTCAGTGCATTTGTGTCACTGGAATTTTTATATTTCATTTTTTATGGTTTATTTTCCACACGTCTTTTCATTTCCATGTGTTGTTTTAACATTTTTCTGTCTCCTGTTTTTACTTTACCTTATGCATTTCTACCTCATTGTGCAAATAAGATGGGCAGCCCATCTTGGGTCAGCTCCTCTTCTGTTGGTCAACAGACAAGAAGAAGCAGGATCCATGTGCAGATCGATGCCTGCACTGCTTCGTATTAGTTTAAAATTTAGTTTAAAACAAAGGCAAGGAGGAAAAACACTTATCTGTGCTGCGCCTTTGCCCTGTGCCATAGGAGTTCAGTGGTTTTGACAGATTCTGCAGCCTTGATTCTGTGGGCGGGAACGGGAGCAGTTGCAGCAGATTCACTAATGAGCTCTCAAGCATTAAAAGGTTGTTCTGATTGTCCAGTTGATGCTGGAGCATCTTATGCTATTCTGTAAAGTTATCAAGCTGCTCAGTAATTTAAGATTACCTGAGTTTTACCATAGTCTTCTCCTGTACCCTGGATTCATTACTCACCTGCTGCTTGCCTCGTCATCTGCTTCTCCTTCATTCTTGGTCCCCTGGGTCTCACGCTCCTCATTCCTGGTTCCTAGATCCTCCTCACCTGGATACTTACTTGCACCTCCACCGTCTACCTGGAACCTGCAAGAAAACAAATCAAACAATAACAAAGACATTTCCCCTCTGCCAGAATCATCACTCACCCTGTACCTTYTTTCAGATCTGGATCCCCACACTTTATACCCGTCCGTCCATTTTCTTCCACTTATCCGGGGTCGGGTCACGGGGGCAGCAGCCTAAGCAGAACGACCCAGACTTCCCTCTCCTCAGCCACTTGGGCCAGCTCCTCTGGGGGAATTCCAAGGTGTTCCCAGGCCAGCTGAGAAACATAATCCCTCCAGCTTGTCCTGGGTCTTCCTCTGGGTCTCCTCCCAGTGGGACATGTCCGGAACACCTCACCAGGGAGGTGTCCAGGAGGTATCCTAACCAGATGCCAGARCCACCTCAACTGGATCCTCTCGACATGGAGGAACAGYGGCTCTACTCTGAGTCCCTCACGGATGGCCGAGCTTCTCACCCTWTCTCTAAGGGAGAGCCCAGACACWCTACAGAGGAAACTCATTTTGGCCGCTTGYATCCGCGCTTTTGTTCTTTCAGTTGCTACCCAAAGCTCGTAACCATTGATGAGGTTTGGAACGTAGACCGATCGGTAAATTGAGAGCTTCGCCTTTTGCCTCAGCTCTCACTTCACTATGACGAATCGGTACAGCGCCTTGTAGATGCAGATGCAGCACCARTCTGCATWTYGATCTCCTGCTCCATTCTTCCCWCATTTGTGAACAAGACCCCAATATACTTAAACTCCTCCACTTGGGGCAGGACCTCTTCCCCGACCCAGAGAAGGTAACCYAYCCTTTTCCAGCTCAAKACCATGGTCTCGGATTTGGAGGCACTGATCCTCATCCTGGCCACTTCACACTTGGCTGCGAACATSTCCAGTGAGAGCTGGAGATCACRATCTGATGAAGCCACAACATCCGCAAAAAGCAGAGATGCGATCTTGAGGTCACCAAAACGGATCCCCTCAACACCTTGRCTGCACRCTGYATATATTGTAAATAAACTCCAYTTAACATTATTACTTGTCCCCTGGTGTTCTGTTCCACTCAGCTGCTTGTTAATGTTCTCTGAGACTGTGATACATGGACAGTCCTTGTGGAGTTGAACCGGATGCCAATAGGAATACAATATACTCCGCTAATAGTCTGCTAATGCATTGATGGGTAATGAGAGCAATCTTATAATGAATTTTGAAAGTTATAGGAAGCCAGCAAAGTTTTTAGAGAATGGTTGTAATGTGACACATAGGCTGGAAGATGAGCTGTGAACCGTCTCAATGAGAGGTGGCAGCTCTAACCATTGCACCACCATGCTGCTTATTAGGTTAGATTGACTTTAGAACTCTGTTTATGTCTGTTGGTTTTCAATAAAAGGTTTTAAATATATTGTTCTCTTTTATCACCAAAACATCTGAGTTAATTTAGTGATTATAAGATCCTAAATGTTCAATTTGAGTGTTAGTAGTCCAG